TGAAGGTTTCAGTGACTACATATTAGGCACCATAACAAATGGAGGACAGAAAATTATAGTCGTAGTCATATATAACCTCCCACCAAATGACAGAAGACCCAGACAGGAATATGATAGAAACAACATGACCACCATTAACATAATAGAAAGAGCAGCTTCTGTTGCTAGCAGGAATGGATCTGGACTACTAATTATGAAGACTTCAACCATGGGAAGATAGATTGGGAGAACAAAGACCCGCATGGAGGACCAGAAACACGGAGAGCTAAGCTGCTGGACGTGGCAACAAGAAACGTTCTAAGCCAGCTCATCAAAGAACCAACAAGAATGAGAGGAGAAGATGAACCAGCAATGCTTGATTTGATATTTACCCTAAATGAGTGGGATATAAGGGAAGTTAAGATGGAAGCGCCATTGGGAATGAGTGACCACAGTGTACTGAACTTTGAGTACCTGGTTGAGCTAAGAATTATCTCTCCAAAAAAAAGAACTAGGAATCAAAAGGCTGGCATTCCAAAAGGGAAACTATGAAGAGATGAGAAATTCCCAAGGGAAATACCTTGGGACACAGAACTCAGAGATAAGTTTGTTCAGGGACATGATGGACTATGTTACCCAAAAGTGTCAGGAGGCAGTCAACAGGTTCATCCCAGCCCAAAGGGAAAAATCCGAGAAGTAACAGAAGAATCCATGGAATAATAGGGCATGTATGGAAGCGAAGAAACTGAACAAAAAAGGCGTGGAGGAACTTCCGGAATAACAGAACACCAGAAAGAAGAGAGATACCAGAGAACCAGGAATGAGTACGTCAGGGTGAGAAGAGAACCAGAGAAAAGTTTTGAAAATGATAGCAAACAAAGCCAAGACCGAACCAAAGCTACTCCACAGTCACATCAGAAGGAAAACAACAGTGAAAGAACAGGTATTGAAACTTAGAACAAGCGAGGACAGGTATACAGAGAATGACGATGAGGTGTGTGAAGAACTCAACAAGAGGTTCCAGGAGGTCTTCACAATAGAACAAGGTGAGGTCACTGTGCTAGGAGAAAGGGAGGTAAACCAGGCGGCCTTGGAAGAGTTCGAAATTACGAGAGAGGAGGTCAAGAGACACCTGCTGGACTTGGATGTTAGAAAGGCTGTTGGTCCAGACGGGATCTCACCATGGATACTGAAAGAGTGTGCAGAGGCACTTTGCTTGCCACTCTCCATAGTGTATAGTAAGTCACTGGAGACGGGAGACCTACCAGAAATATGGAAGACGGCGAATGTGGTCCCAATATACAAAAAGGGCGACAGGCAAGAGGCACTTAACTACAGGCCAGTGTCCTTGACTTGTATACCATGCAAGGTGACGGAGAAGATCGTCAGAAAAAACCTGGTAACAAATCTGAGAGAAGAGAGTTCGTGACAAATCGCAAACATGGGTTCAGGGAGGGTAAATCTTGCCTGACAGGCTTGAAAGAATTCTACGATCAGGTGACAAAGATTAAACAAGAAAGAGAGGGCTGGGCGGACTGTATTTTCTTGGATTGTCGGAAAGCCTTTTACACAGTACCGCATAAGAGGCTGGTACATAAGCTGGAGAGAGACAGGCAGGTGTAGCTGGTAAGGTGCTGCAGTGGATAAGGGAGTGCCTAAGCAATAGGAAGCAGAGAGTTACGGTGAGGGGTGAGACCTCAGATTGGCGTGAAGTGACCAGTGGAGTCCCACAGGGCTCTGTACTCGGTCCTATCTTGTTTCTGATATATGTAAATGATCTACCGGAGGGTATCGATTCATTTCTCTCAATGTTTGCGGACGATGCCAAAATTATGAGAAGGATTAAAACAGAAGAGGACTGTTTGAGGCTTCAAGAAGACTTAGACAAGCTGAAGGAATGGTCGAACAAATGGTTGTTTGAGTTTAACCCAAGCAAATGTAATGTAATGAAGATAGGTGTAGGGAGCAGGACACCAGATACAAGATATCATTTGGGAGATGAAATGCTTCAAGTGTCAGAGAGAGAGAAAGACCTGGGGTTGATATCACACCAGACCTGTTCCCTGAAGCTCATATCAAGAGGATAACATCAGCGGGATCTGCTAGGTTGGCTAACATAAGAATGGCATTTAGAAACCTGAGTAAGGAATCTTTCAGAACATTATATACCACATATGTCAGACCAATCCTGGAGTATGCGCCTCCAGCATGGAGTGGATATCTAGTGAAGCATAGGACTAAACGGGAAAAGGTTCAAAGGTTTACCACCAGACTAGTACCCGAACTGAGGGGAATGAGCTACGAGGAGAGACTACAGGAATTAAATCTCACGTCACTGGAAGACCGGAGAGTTAGAGGGGACATGATCACCACATACAAGATTCTCAGAGGAATTGATAGGGTAGATAAGGACAGACTATTTAACAAAAGAGGGGCATGCACTAGGGGACACAGGCGGAAATTGAGTGCCCAAGTGAGCCATAGAGACGTTAAAAAGAATTTTTTCAGTGTCAGAATAGTAGACAAATGGAATGCATTAGGAATGGAATGCATTAAGAGGCATGAGTTATGAGGAAAGGCTGCGGGAAATGCACCTTACGACACTGGAAGACAGAGGAGTAAGAGGAGACATGATCACAACCCACAAAATTCTCAGGGGAATCGACCGGGTAAACAAGGATAAACTATTCAACACTGGTGGTACGCGAACAAGGGGATACAGGTGGAAACTGAGTACTCACATGAGCCACAGGGACGTTAGAAGGAACTTTTTCAGTGTCAGAGTAGTTAACGGATGGAATGCATTAGGCTGTGATGTGGTGGAGGCTGACGCCATACACAGTTTCAAATGTAGATATGATTAGAGCCCAGTAGGCTCAGGAATCTGTACACCAGTTGATTGACAGTTGAGAGGCGGGACCAAAGAGCCAAAGCACAACCCCCGCAAGCACAAATAGGTGAGTACACACACACACGCACATCAGGCAACACACGACCAGGGAACAAAAGTCAGGCAAGAAGCAGAGGGGTGGGCAAACTGCATATTTTTGGATTTGCCAAAAAGCCTTTTACACAGTACCACACCAGAGACTATTGCAATAGCTGGAGATGCAGGCTTAAGTGAATGGGAAGGTACTTCATTGGATGAGGGAGTATCTAAGTAACAGAAGACAGCAAATCACTGTGAGGGGTGAGGCCTCAGATTGGCGATGCGTCACCAGTCGATTACCGCACGATTCAGTCCTTCGACCTATACTGTTTCTGATATATGTAAATGATCTCCCAGAGGGTAAAAAATCGTTCCTCTCATTGTTTGCTGATGATGCTAAAATTATGAGGAGGATTAAGATGGAGGAAGATGGAATGAGGGTACAAGATGACCGAGACAAACTGAATGAATGGTCCAACAAAAAGCTACTAAAGTTCAACCCAAGTAAATGTAAGTTAATGAAACTAGGCGGTGGAAAAGGGAGGCCAGACACAGGATACAGAATGGGAGATGAAGTACTTCATGAAACGGACAGAGAGAAATCTGGGAGTTGATATCACACTAAACATATCTTATGAAGCCCACATAAAAGAATTACATATGCGGCGTATGAAAGACTGCCTACCATCAGAACTGCCTTCAGGAATCTGTGCAAAAAATCCTTCAGAACCTTGTATACCACATATGTAAGATCAATCCTGGAGAATGCAGCCGCATCGTGGAGCCCGTACCTAGTCAAGCACAAGACGAAGCATGAAAAAGTTCAGAGGTATGCCACTTGGCTAGTCCCAGAAGTAAGAGGCATGAGTTACGAGGAAAGGCTGCCTGAAATGCATCTTACGACACTGGAAGACAGAAGAGTAAGGGGAGACATGATCACTACCCACAAAATTCTCAGAAGAATTGACAGGGTAGAGAAGGAGAAACTATTTAACACGGGTGGTACAGGAACAAGGGGACACAGGTGGAAACTGAGTACCCAAATGAGCCACAAGGACCTTATAAAGAACCTTTTCAATGTCAGCGTAGTTAAGAGATTGAATACATTAGGCAGTGATGTGATGGAGGCTGACTCCTTACACAGTTTCAAATGTAGATATGATTGTGTCCAGTAGGTTCAGGAATCTGTACACCAGTTGACTGAAAGTTGAAAGGCGGGACCAAAGAGCCAGAGCTCAACCCAAGCAAACACAACTAGGTTAGTTCAACTAGGTGGGTTCAACTAGGGAAGTGCAACTAGGTGAGTACACACACCATTCCCGGGATACAATCGGCATCGCTGTCAAACTACCAGGTTCCTATCTACTACAATTGCGAACAAACATATTAAGTGAAAGAAACTCTGTCCATTTGCGTCTTCCTCGTCCTGGAATGGAACCCAGGGATTGGGTTAGCAGCCAAAGGACAGAGAGAGAGTGAAAAAAATGAGGCTTCCCTACTCACCTAGTTGTGTTTGCGGGGGTTGAGCTCTGGCTCTTTGGTCCCCCCTCTCAATGTGTGTTATTCCTATGTGTGTGTGTGTGTGGGTGTGTGTGTGCTGCATCCTTGCATTTTTGCGTGATGTATTCCATCATATCTGGGCCGTCTTTTCCTGAGCTCTGTTTCCCATGCTATATCTGCTAGGCATTTCTTATCTCCTCATAGTTTCCCTTTCGGTATGCTAACCTTTGGGTTTCGGTATCCCCTCTCGAGTTCAATAACCCTTCTTCAATCAGGTACTCAAAACACCAATACACTGTGGTCGCTCATCCTACTGGGTCCTCAAAACTGATTTCTCTTATGTCAGAGTCGTTCTTCTTTGGTCCCCCCGTCAACCGTGTGTGTGTGTGTGTGTGTGCGCGCGCGCGCGCGCGTACTCGTGTGCGTGCGCGTGTGCGTGCACCAATACCCAGGTTGTGTCTTTGGGGTTTATGTTTGTGTATTAACGTGTATATAACTGAAATATTTATTATATCTCTATAATTCAGGCCAGGATGGTTGTACTGAGGAATTATATAAAAGTAATGGCTGCCGTTTTGGTGAACGCTGTGCCCCTAGTCAGTCAAGAAGTAGGTGGTACCGATGACCAAGTGGGCGTGATGGTGGGCTGGTGGGCGTGATGGTGGGTCAGGTGGGTGTGATGGTGGGCCAAGTGGTGGAGCGTCATCTCACCGGCTGTCACCTGGTTCTCATAACCACTTCACGTCACTCTCACTTCTCTTCAAGCATAATCAGGTGAATCATATTGAACAGTAAGTTTTTAAATCATGTTTTTCTTCAGTATTTTAATATTGTATCACACTGCACCGCATTTCTAAGTTTGAAATTATGATAATAGAAGGTAGCACTCTGAGAGAATTTGGTAAAAATCTGTATATATAATATTATTCTTGCTGCCAATGTAGAATTTGTCTATAGAACCAGTTTTTGTACGAAAATGTAAATCTGGCTAATATCGCTCTCAAAACTATGGGAACAACACCTTTATCATCGTCTTTAATTAAATGTGGATCTTATTTATTGACGGCTGGTGGTTACCGAACTCCTGTTCATGAAAGCTTCATCAGCCGCAGCCTCTGCATGTTCATTAGAGAACCTGACGCTCACTACCGGTGCCATTGCTAGCAGGTCACACACGGTTTTGTTCTCTGGAATACTTTAGATTCAGAGCAACCATAAGCTCAAATCTTCGTGGGTTTTGTAAACACATCAATACTCCAAGATGCAGAGAATATTGTATTTGAAAGAAAACAATACCGATTTCGTCTGCAAATAATGGACAACCAAAGTTGTTGATTAGCTGATGTCCAGCTAACTGGTATTCTGTGCAACCCAGTACACATACAACTCAAACTGTCGTACCGCACTCGTCGCCCATCTCCCAATGTCCGAGTATTATTATTTTTTTTTTGTGAGGACCGTGTCACTGACCAGGTCACTTAGATTCCTACTCTGAAAGGTAAGGCGATACCCTGCGGGCAGTGCCACATGGGGACATGTTGAAAGATGTACTGAGCCTGACAGGGAAAGGTAGACCAAACCACTCTTCTAGGTATTAGGTATCACTGATTCCACCACAGGGAATCATTTTATGACCTCCGTTTGAGGGGAAGGAATTTTTCGTTCTATCAAATAGTGTCTCATTCATTAGGTAGGGCAGTGAATAGGTCCACACTACGCGGAGACGTCATGGGGAAGTCAAAGAGAAAGAGGCAAGAGAGGCACCTTTTAGACAAGGAGGGGCAGTGGACCGAGGTTCAGTAGGCCCTGAAGAAAAATGCTATCGAGGCTACACCAAGTGCTTTTACCAGCAAGGCACCAGACATAATGGGCCTAGAGAAGACAGCACCATTTACACACCAGCCAGTATCAAACAATGCTTCTCTGTCCTCATCCCAGCCACAGGACAACATTATGAGACAGGAGCGGGCAGTACCAGTCACACACGCTTTGTTAGACTCTGCACGTCTTCAAAACTGAAAGATAATGCAGATAGACGACTTTCCTATAGCATATGGAGTCGTAACGACAATAGAAAAGAGCAACTAGAACTTAAACTTTCCATCACAATCAACCTGAGAGGAGAAATTAAAATGACACCACGAGACCAACACAGTGCACATTACCAAGTAACAGTCACAAGTCCAGCAAAGGGAAACCAATATGCTTGGAAAGGCTGGACACTTGAGAAAGAGGCACACAAGTCGTGCTGTTGGGATACCCAGTCGACATTCCACTGTATCCAATACTAAAACACAAGCTAATCTTGAATGCTGAACGATGCCGCTCAAAAGTAGACAATGAAGCGACACGTCAGGTTCTGGTGACCGTCATGGGTCATGTAACAGAAACATTCAATCTTGGAAATTGTGGAAAATACCTACAGAAACCAAATGTCCCGCAACCCGTCTTCGACTCAAGTCCATTGCCTCCAGTGATCGACCCCACAGATGCATTCGTAAATTATTACATGCTGTTCATTCAAAACGGCAATTTTGTTAAATATAAATTAATGTTATAATATATACGCATATTGTACATATATATAGGCATAGGTTAGGTGTTTAGGTTCTGTTGGTGATTATTTGTATATGTAGTACGTGGGTGAAACATTGATAGCCTAGTGGTTCGAACAAAATTTGTCAGTGAAGTACTTGTTCCGGAAGTGCACTTGAACGTCAGCAGTTGTGAGTCGTGTGTAAACCGTTTTTCTTTAATAAACAGGGGGTTTGGCGAGTGCATGGAAATACTTTTGGGTCTTTGTTTGGACGAATGGCTGCGTCCTGGAACCAAAGCGCTACTTCAGGTGTTAGAAATACCTGAAGCACCGGAAGAATCAAGTCCTTCAGGTGTCACCATCAATCACGCTGCATCGGACAGGAGAGATGCGAAGTGTGCAGCCTGAGGAACCCAACGAAACACTGCATAGGCAACATTCTCCATGATCAATGGGCACTAACTTGTTACAACTCATTCCAAATTAACATACAGAACAAATTTAATGACACACGCCCAAGTAGTCAGCGAACCATCAATCTTGCATGTACAGCTATCGACGTGTCGGACGTTAATGATGTAACTAAATGGGAATTAAATCATGCACTAAAGAGGGGGAAATCAACTGCTCCTTGAGAGGACGGTATTATGTACAGTTTACTGAGATTAGTCTCACAAGTACCAGGTAATCCACTTTTAGTGTTATACAGAATGAGTTTAAGTGAAGGAGTATTACCTGATGAACAAATCCACATGGGCTGTGACGAGGGTTCGAACCTACATCCGAGAGGATCCCAGACGCTGCTTTAATCAACTGAGCTACGACATGGTTAAAAGAATTGCAACCGGAAATTCTACTGACCTTACTCAGATCAATAACAGCTTATTGATAGAGCTTGGTTGTATGGGGGAATTGTGTCAAATCATGGTTTGTATCTCGGAGAGGCTGCAGGATTCGTAAGGTAAGTAGAAATTCCGGTTGCAATTCTTTTGACCATGTCATAGCTCAGTTGATTAAGGCTGAGTCCGGGATCCTCTCGGACGTAGGTTCGAACCCTCGTCACGGCCCTTGTGGATTTGTTCATTTGATGCATCACGCTATTGTGATTTCTGTGTGTAATGAAGTAAGGGCGAAGAGGTAGAACAGCTTATTGATAGAACTCATTGATTGAATCGGCTCTAATACACAATGTACCCAACATGAACTTGAGTCCTGGCTTTGTTGCTGTGGACTCTTCCCTTTCACAGTATATACCTAAATGCTCTAATCTTTCTAACAAATGTGACCTAACATAGCTTACCCTTCCATTTATCTTTCATTCTCTTTCCTTTTCTCTCTTTTCTGTTCTTTACGTTCCCTTACTATCCTCTTCTTATTCCTAATACTATCTCCTCATTCGGTGGTTATAATAGAAGCTGCCTCGTATGGGCCAATAGGCCCTCTGCAGTTCTTATTTCTACTACTATCTCCTCTACTACACTTTGCTCCTCACCTCTCTCTAGCCTATTTATTGCCTGCATATACTTCCTCATCAGAATCGACTTTAGAATGGTCCAAGACGGACCGAAACGTCGTCGTCCCTTCACCTTCTAGTGTGTGGTCAGGTCAACTTACTTTAGCCACGTTATTGTAACTCATCGCCTGCATTAGGTTACAATGCTATAACTTCTCTGGAAGTATAACTAAACACATATAGTAAGCTAAAGATTCTAAATGAGTAATAAACCTATTCGGTTTATATACATCAAGTTACAGTACTATAACACTCTGGAGCTCTAATTAAGTACATGATAACCTAAAAGATGAGATGAGCTTATTCTATTATGAGAAACAACTTGTTTCACTACTAATAGTCTTTTGGTAAATGTTCACTTACAGGCTGTTGAATAGTTCAGTTTTGCTTGTGCAAAGATACTTCTCCAAACTGTCTCTAAAGTTGCTTGTGGGCAGAGACAAGAAAGCAGAAGGAGCTCAAACAAAACTGATACAACCCTTCAGGTGTATCATATTAAATGGATTACTAGATCCTAGTCCAGACGACTTGATATAAATGTAGTCTTCTCTGGAAAACTTCCTAAGGTATGATAAATGCAATAAGATCCGATGAAGTGCTATGAAGACTGAATGTGGTCAATTATTACTGTCGAGAATAGTTCTGGGTCTACAGTGGGGTCTATGACATGTGTCGCTGTGACGTGAACCGGTTTAGGCTGCTGGTCACTGATTTATCCACTGAGATCCATAGAAACTAACTCGGCTAATACTAATTGTAACAGACTCAATCTGGAATTAATGTTGATTGTCAGCTGACATAGGCTTCTTCAGGTTCAAGACTCTACCTGTAAGTAAGTAGCCTCCTGCTGAACTCAACAAGTTCATTCCCTGCTGGCTTGTAGTTCCAGTAATGAACTGATAATAATGGTCTGCCCCTACTAATATATCTACGTTGGTAAGTGGTCAGACTTTATCTTGGTGTCAGCCAGTTCGATTAAATTTTTCTGCAAATATCTGGCTGTGTCTCTTAGACCTTTAACATTCAGGTCAAGAGGGATGTGATTAACTACTATGGCCTTAACAGGTCGGCGGACATAACCGCCTAAGCGTACTAGTAATACGGCATTATTACGAGACTTGGTGTTAAGTACCTTAAAGCGCTGCACAATGGTGGAAGTATCCTGTTCCACCTGGAGTTTTGGTGATTTAGGCCTATCAACTCCACACAATGCTGAATGATGTTGATCCTGGTGGCACCTGTTACATATGTGTAATAGGGTGGTGCATGTATTAGTCATTTTACAACAAGCACCTAGTGCACTTGTGCAATTCCTTCAGGCGCTTTATCCTAGAAACGCGATCAAGAAAGGTTTGACACAGATAAATAGTATGATTCTCTTGGCAAAAGAGACAGCATCTCCTTCCTGTAGAAGATGCAGGAGTCATTGACTTGGGTGACTTATGGGCTACAGGTTTAGAAGGGCTGATAGTGTAGGAACCTACTGCAGCATTTTTCCATTTTGAAGTGGAAGCAGCGGTTTTAGACTTATTAGGCTGTTTGGAGGTACCTTTGGGTTTAACGTTTATCAGTGGTTGATTTGTCAGTGTCAGATATTATTTTCTCATGAGCTCTCAGTCGATTAACTGTAATCCTTAATCCCTTGAAAATTTCATTAAAGGATAGGATATCTATTCTATAATGGGAACAGATGTATGCTAGGATCTCCTTAGGAAATTTACTCTG